ATACCTGTAGGCTTATTGTACATGATTTTATCCAATTACCCACCAAAGGGCCGGTGCAGATGTAAGCCAGCACCAGAGTAAGGTGATGCAGGCCAGGATGGGGAGTGTGCTGAGACATGCCTGAGATGGCACCCAGTGTCCATACTGTTCTCCGCGGACCACGTTCTGGCATGAACCTCCGTGGTATGTGAGGCCATGCATCCTGCATACCTCCTCTGCATCCCTCAGGGTCGGGATGCAGCCCCTGGCAAATGCTGGCCAGAAGACGTAGCTGGCCTGAGCTCCTTGTGATTGGTCATTGCCCTCAGTGGTCAGTGTCAATTCATCCTGGGTAGCTCTTGAGAGTTATTCTTAGAACTGTGCCCGTGAATTCAACCTCACTCCATGATAAATCCTGGGCTATTGGAATTCTGTGATATAATGACTAACAAATCTCCCCACCCCTTACACAGAATGCATTAACCATGTTGTGTTTTACCTGGTGTGATGGTTAATTTAAGGTGTCAACTTGGAGGATGTTTTGGATGAGATTAACATTTAAGTCAGTGAATTTCTGGGTAAAGTAGATTGTCCTCTCAAATGTGGGTGGGCCTCATCCAATCAGTTGCAGGCCTAAATAGAACGAAAACTGACCTCCCTCAAGGGAGAGGGAATTCTCCATCAGATTGCCTTCACACTGGCTGCACCACTGGCTCTCCTGAGTCTCCAGCCTGCTGGGCCTCACTACAGATTTTGCTTGTGCCAGCCTCCATAATTGCATGAGCCAATTCCTTATGATACATCTTTCTCTTGATATATACACCCAACCTAGCCGTTCTGTTTCTCTGGAGAACCCTGACTGACACGCCTGGAGTGGTGATGATGGTGGGTTGTTCATTCCCCTAAAGGGGAGGACATTGCCTCATTTTTATGGAGGGATCTTATGGAGGCATTTCCTGGACTCTAAATAGGAGGCCACCTTTCTTTTCACCCTTCCTCCATTCTGTTCTGGTTTCTCAGGTTCATGGCCAGCCAGTCTAATTCTCTCCATAGACAGGGGTGGGAAAGTCAGTCAGGTGGGATGGTGCCAAGGGAAGCTCCAGGAAGCAGGGTCTTCCCTGAGGCTAAGAAGCAAATGTGATTGAAGGGGCAAATGACCCAAGGGAGAACAGAGGACCAGTTCAAGCCTCAGGGCCAAGAGCTAGGACCTGAATCATTTGCAAGAGTTGAGGCCGGAGATGAAGCAGGAGTTGAGAAGACAGGAATAAGCTGGCAAACAGCATAGAAGGGGGAAGTTTCAAACACTGAGCTGCAAACAAGACAGGGTTGAGTTCAACTTTATTGGGTGCAAGGGATGTGTTAGAGGGTGTGGCAGCTGTTTAAAGGCACAGTGATGTCAGTGTTAATAGAGCAGTCCATTCGAAGCCCAGCTCTACTACCTACTGGCTCTGTGTGTGACCTTGGTCAAGTCACTATCTTTGTGCAAAAGAGGAATAATAAGCCACTCTACAGAGATGCTGTGTGAATTATGAGATGATGTGGAGCATTAGAACCGGTACCCAGCACACACTGAGGATCTACTCAATTACATCAGTTCCCTTCACCCTTTGTGGATACGATCAACTGGTCACCCATCTTGTTCAATAAAACACTTCTATTCTGAGCCAAGCTTCCCCTTTCCATTCTAGTAGTTAATGTGTTCTCTGAGGATGCAATCTAATTATAATTAGCCCGATGATGTGGGGAAAAAGCTCACTTTGAAACCTTTGCTAATGATACTATATCTCTACCATCATTTTCTCTTTTAGCCTAGATCACTGAGTTCATTTTTGCAATTTAAGTACTACTCTTGGTCCTATTAGCCATCCCAGTTACGCAAGGGGAAGTTGGTACGGCAGTTCTCACTTAGATTCCTGCCTGGGTAAGATTTGTGATTACAAGGGGTGAAAAGAAAAAGAGAGAGAGAAAAAAGAGAATGTAGCTAAAGTCATTCCATAAATGGTCAGAGTTCATAACCAAGCATGTGAAAATATGTCTTGTAGAATGATATGTGGCAGAGACTATTTTCCAATCCACTATTCATTTTCCCTTTAGTTAAGGAATTCCACATTTTTTTTTCTTTTTTAAAAAAATTAATTATTTTTTGGCTGCTTTGGGTCTTTGTTGCTGTGCGCGGGCTTTCTCTAGTTGCGGCAAGTGCGGGCTACTCTTCCTTGCAGTGCGCGGGCTTCTCATTGTGGTGGCTTCTCTTTGTGGCGGAGCACGGGCTCTAGGCTTGCGGTCTTCAGTAGTTGTGGCTTGTGGGCTCTAGAGCGCAGGCTCAGTAGTTGTGGTGCACGGGCTTAGTTGCTCCACAGCATGTGGGATCTTCCCAGACCAGGGCTTGAACCCGTGTCCCCTGCATTGGCGGATTCTTAACCACTGTGCCACCAGGGAAGTCCTCCACATTTTTTCAGACTGGAAATGTCCACAGCTAAATGAGTATGTTTTCCAGCCTCCTCTGTATTTAGGTGCAGCCTTCTACCTAAATTCTGATTGGAATTTGTTGGGTAAATCTACTACAAAGGATCCTTAAAAGGGAGACAGGGACAAAAGGGAGGCCTACCTTTTGTCCTTCCCTCTTCATGGAAAGAAGGTGAGATGGCTGGTGCTCTAGAAGCTTTAATGAATCATGAGACAACTCTGAGGACAGAGGAACCTGGTTCCTTGATGACTTCATGGCACTTCCATCCCAGCCCTGGACTACCTACTCCAGATCTCTTTTACGAGGGAATACACTCTTCTGTGTTTGAGACACTGCAGCTGGATCTGTTATTAGAATACGAATGCAATTAATAACTGGCTCAGAATGAATTCCTCTCAACCCACATTTTTCCTCCTCCAGCCAGTGTGTTGATCCAGACTGTGGTGGGTCTGAAGGTGGCTGCGAAGTACTCTTGGGAAGTTTATTCAAGGGAAATCCACAATTATGGTGCCCTGACATGGCAGATGACATCCTGAGCTGGCCAGAGGAATTGGGGACAGACTGCAGTCAACAGTAATTTAACACCTTGGGCCAACTGAATGAGTACTTCTTATAGTGGTCAACTATAAAAGAAAAAGAGGCCTGTTTACTGAGTATAAGAAATTTCTCAATACCTCTTGTAACCCCCAAACCCTTGGTCTCAATCCTGGTTATGCTTGCAATTGGGGTCGTCTTCTGGAAGGATGTAGCTGATGAGAGAGATATGATGTTAGAGACACTTTTACTTGACTGCTAATGTCACCTCCCCACACCCCAACCTTTGTTGCATGCTCAGAAGGGCATGTGGGGGGAGCGTGGTCAATTTAAATCTCAAAGTGTCATCATTAGTACAAACAAGAAGTACATCCATGTGGCCTGACTGAGCTCAGTCTCCTAATAGTGATATTTTGTTCTCACTGGAACAAGCCCTTTTATTAGTGACTGACCTGTCACTGAATTCTGTTGTTCCATCCTTCAAAATGCTTTCCTTCCAGTTCCCATAGCTATTACCCTAAAACCGGCTCTTAGAACCTCATGCTAGGATTCATGCAACAGTTTTCTAACTAGCCTGCCCCTCAAATCAATGCCAGACTTGCTCGCCTGAAAAACTGCTTTCAGTGTGCTTCACTTCAGCTAAAGTGCTTTTCAATTTCCTGTTGCCAATCACATGTTTGAGTTTTAAGGACATGCATCAGCTGGCCCCAACTTGAATTTCCTCCTGCATCTGGTGACATGCTCTTACATTCACCTGACTGTCAGCAAGCCCCGCCCTTTCTGTGAAGCCCTGCTCCGTGGTTCCCCTTTCTGTCCCCCTAGTCCTCCCAAAGCTTAGTCATCCTTGGGGCAGGGGTGGGGTGAGGCTTGTGAAGGGGGTGCAGGAAAGTAACTGACACTCTATTCGGCACCTATTATCTGCTTCCTTTCATTTTATTCTATTCAGTAAAGGCCCGACTCAGGCCAGTAACAGTGTAAAGCTTTCATAACTTCTTTACAGGGAGGATTTACACAATTCAGGATTGTTTTGTTAATTGTTCAGAAAGCATTTGATACTTACAGCTCATTAGACATAGGACACTGCAGGAAAGAATCCTCTGTTGTACTTTTTATATTCTCCCAACAAGCACTGAAGACTTGACTGCTAAGGCCTGGTGATCAAAAAGTATGAACTTTGGGTTCTAATCCTGACTCTTTCACTTATTAACGGTGTGACCAGGGCAACGTGCTCATCAAGCTCCTTGAGCTCATTAACCGTCACCTGGAATCAATGTTACTTCTACTGGGGTGAAATAAAGATAAATGAATGTAAACCCTGCAGCGCAGTCGCTGACACGTCGTGAGTGCACGGTAACACTATTATCAGGCCTGGCGGAAATCCCAAGGTCAGTTCACTGGGAAAGAAAAGTCACTCCGGGCAGTGGTTGGAAGGACACTGGCCCTACACCATACCAGCGCCAGGGCCCGCCTTCCTGGGGGACCTCAAAGGCCCGCTGGGGCGCTCCGAGGCCGCTCAGGGAAACACGAGTCTTTTTTCCGGGAGGGGGTCACCCGCCCCCGAGGCTGCGCCCCCGCGACCGCAGGGAAGCTGCGGGTACTCTGCTCCCAACAATTCCCTCGCACGCAGGCGCAAGCTGAGTCTCCACCTGCAGGCAGCGCGGGGCGGTACCTTCGCGGGGCGGGGCCTGGGGCCGGACCATCTCACACGGCGTGGGAACGGCGGTCTTTCCTCTGGCGATACGCCCAGAAGGGCGCAGGGGGGGCACCGCGGTTCGTCTGGCCGCTGGGGAAAGTGCCGGGTCTCCCTTCCTCGCGTTCCAGAGCGCGGGCTCGGGACCCTTCGCCCCCTGTGTCCCCAAGTTGGAAGCGGCGAGCGCAGGGGGCGGGGTCGAGGCGGGCGCAGGGGGCGGGGCCGCGGGGGGCGGCGGTGTACTTGCTGCGCAGCCCGCAGCTCGAGCTCGTCCTCGGCTGTCAGCGCTGCGGTGCGGTTCGAGCTCTAAGAGGCCTACAGGCTGCGTCCACCATGTTGTGCCGGGCGGCGTGCAGGTGAGGCGCCGGGCGGCGTGCGCAGCGGGGACGCGGCCCCGGCCCCACGGGCGAAGAGGCGCGGGCGGTGGTGTCGGCGGGTCGGCGCGGTGGCCGCCGCTGTCCCCCACCGCCTCCCGCTCTGCCTACCCTCTCGCGCCGGCCCCGCGGGATCTAGGGCACCTTCGGGGACCCGGCGTCGCAGGGCGTGGCAAGAGGCCGGGCCTGAGGGCAGGTGTCCGCTGAGCGCGTCCAGGTGCCGCCGAGGCGCTGGACCGCAGCGTTAGTTTAATGGCAAAGACTGGACGGCGAGGGGGCCAACGACTGGAAGGCCCCCAGGGGCGCGGGTCCTTGTAGCCGGGTCTGCGGAGCCGGGCACGCGGCTTAACGGTTGCTGCCCGCGTCAGCCAATCGGGCTGTGTTTGCTGTCTTTCCAGCACAAGCTGGAAGCTGGTGCCGGGCCTGGGGGCTCTGGGCTCCCGGCGGAAGCATAGCCTCCCCGACCTGCCGTACGACTATGGCGCCCTGGAGCCCCACATCAACGCGCAGATCATGCAGCTGCATCACAGCAAGCACCATGCGGCCTACGTGAACAACCTGAACATCGCCGAGGAGAAATATCGGGAGGCGCTGGAGAAGGGTGGGTGCCGGACGGCCGGACTTCGAGAAACCGGTTACAGGGAACCGCGGCGGCGAGGCGGGTCTGCGTAAAGCCCCACCCCTGCTTTCAGTAGGGCCGCTGCACGTGTTCGCGCGGTGACTTAGGGAGCAGAATTCACAAGGAGAAGAGCCGTTTCGGGGGGGAACTGAGACAAACTTGTATTTATTTGCTAATCTTTGGAATTCAGTGAAAGTATAATACGGAGTTGGTATTTGTTTTTTAAAGGAGCTCAGGTGACAAAACCAGTCGTGCGTAGACTTTTTTTGTGTTTTGCATCTGGGGGCGTGTATGGGAGTACCAAGTCTTAACTTTTCTGTACAAAATAGCATTACACTTTGAATCTGTTAGTTAAGGTTAGTAATGTTAGTGGTTTGCACGAGGGAAATAATTGGCAGGCGTGTTTCCAGGCTATATGTATGGCTGAAACTGCTCAGTTAAAAGTGTATTTTTTTTTTCTTAAATGTGTTTTTATCGAATTTCAGTCCTGTGAAATTTGTTGAGTGAATTTTAGACTGTGACATCTTGTTGAGTGGGGACATCTAGTGGAAAAATGTAGTATTTCAGTCTGTGTGTGAGGTAATAGGTAAACAAAAAGAAGAGGAAGTTACCACATTCTGGAAGATTTACTTGTGATCATCAGAGGGACCGCAAGTACGGTAAAGGAAAAGGTTCTGAGTACGCGAAGAGGTTCTGTGATTTAGGACAAAACAAATGCGGGAAGAATGTGGTAATGGGGAGAGGCTGGGATAAATCCCAGTTGTGAAACTGTTTCCTGCATGACAACATCTGACATCCGTGAACCCCTTCTCTTCAATATTTTAAAAACAGCTTAATTTCAGTCCTTGTGCAATCAAAGTTTTGCTTGTTTAATGAAAGCCAATGGAAAAAAAGCTTTATTATATTGTACTGTATTGCCTATAAGTTAATGAGTGTCTGTAGAGCTTTCTTTTATTTAAAAAATTATTTTAAAAATCATTAAGGAGTTAAATTTTCATGTTTGAAAATTTGGGAAAAAAGAGTGTAAGGAAAACAACATCATCAATCTTAACCGCATTTAAGTATGTAAATACTTTTCGAACAAAAGTACTTAACTTTTGTTGTATTCAACAGAGAAAATTGGCCGTGAAGCCAGTGAAAATGTTGAGCTTCAGAAAAGTGTTCTTAAAAGCAGATATTAACCCCCCCAAATTTCTATTAAAATTTAAAAAATGATTAAGTAAACTTTAAGAGATTGTGATTAAACTAGTTCTCAGGAAACATGTTTCTTTCCCATTAGAAATATTTAGTTATTGTTGACTTATTAAAAAACAATATAAAGCCTACATTTATTTTTAGGGTGATTCTCCAAGAAAAATCAGTAAGGGAAACACTGATCTGTCAGAAAGTTATTTTATAAACATAACAACGACAACAAAAGTTGACATCTTAAACAGAACTCTCAAAGATTATCTGTGTATTCAGATATCATTGGTCCTCTCCGCCTTTCTGAATTGCTAAAAACTGGAGGTTTTATTGTTTCAGAAAGCGACATTTCTCTTTTTTTTTTTTTTTTTTTTAGAAAGCGATATTTCTTACGTGTGTTCTTGGCGCGTGTCCCAACAACAGAAATAGGGAACTTGTATTGCTATTATGTAAGCTGCCCGAGGGCAGAGATCTCAGTGGTTCTCTGTGCCCTTCACTTTGCCTCTTGGTATCTTGTGAGTCATAAGAACTTAATACTTAATAAGGGAATTCCCATTTTTCCTAATAGTTCCGTTAGTCTGTAGCTTCTTGAAGGCATCAAGAAAAATATTTTGTTTTGCCTCCATGTTTAGCAAGGTAGAAAAAACAGCTTCAAATATGACATTCTTTTTAAGTGTAGAGGTCAGAATTTTCTTTCCGTGGAACTCTGTTCAGCATTCACGAGTGCCTGCTGCACGTGAGGCAGTCTGTTGGGCCTTGGGGACACGGCAGTGCACAAAAGTCCTGTCCTCGCTGGAGCCTTCCTCCTAGCGGAGACACGTGAACAAATCAATATGGAGTGTGCCGGGGCTGAAGTCCTACCGAGAAAAACAAAGTAGGGGAAGTGGTCTGGACGCGGGGTGGGGATTGCCCATCTTACATTGTGGTTAGAGAAGCCTTCTGATGAGGTTGACGTTTCAGTGGAGACTTGAAAGAGAAATGGGGGAGTGAACCATGAGACTGTCTCCGGGAAGTGTTCCAGCAAAGGCCTCAGTGGTCAGTGGAAGCCCTAAGCTGGGAGCATGCCAGGCCTGTTGCCTAAGCGCCAGGAGGCCGTGGTGGCCGGAGCTGGGCCAGCGAGGAGGTGCAGAGGGTCGGATGATGGGCACCTCTGTACCGATTGTATGGACTTGGGGTTCACTCTGAGAAGAGCAGCCTGCAGAGGGGTTTGACCAGACGTGTGCCGTGATCAGTTGGGGGTCTAGAGGAGCCCTCTGGCAACTGTGTTGAGAATAGACTGTAGGGGCAGGAGTGGAAGCAGGGGACCAGTGAGAGACAGGGGCACGAGTGCGGGGCGGAGGTGCTGCTGGTGGCACCACGGGCAGGAAGAAGGGGTGAAGTTCTGGATGTTTTCCGGAGCTGGCTTTGCTGGTGGGCTGATGTGGGGTGTGAGAGGACTAGCGTGAAGAATAACCACGTCATCAAAGATGTCCTGAGAAAACAGCTGGCACTCACTCAGGTGGGGAAGGCCTTTGGATGAGTAAGTTTGGGGTTGAAGATCAGGGGTTCAGTTTTGAACAAGTTGAGTTTTTTGTTAATGTAACATTGAAGTATTTCCCAGTAGATGGTTGTCTATCTAGAAAATGGGAGTTGAGCATTTTCCATGTAGTCTGTATACGGAACCATCTATTTTATAGCATTCCACTATTTTCTGTCTTTGTTCTCTTTCTTATTTCATTTACTGAAATCTTTTCTACCCAAGAAAACCGAGTTCTTTGAAGCCCAGGAGTGAATTTTCTACTAGCTTTGCCACCCCTGCTGGCTTCTCACTAGTTGTTTGGTACATTATTAATTGAACTGAAAATCCACTGGGACAAATATTTGGGGGAAGGTTTTTTTTGGGTAGAGTCTTGAAATTGTGAAATTTTGGGACCAATAGGGATGTTACAATGGTCCAATTATCTGATGTTTTACAAAGAAAAAAAAAGTGTTATAGAATGGTCAAAAAAGTAAGAATTAAAAAAAATGTGTTTTTATTTTAACCTTTCAGGTGATGTTACAGCTCAGGTGGCTCTACAGCCTGCAGTAAAGTTCAACGGTGGAGGCCATATCAATCATAGCATTTTCTGGACAAATCTGAGCCCTAATGGTGGTGGAGAACCCGAAGGTTGGTTTAGATTGGTGCAACCTTAGCTATGTTCTGTGCACGATAGGAATGACTTGATTTTCTTAAGTTACCTTAATTCTCCCTGAGGTATCATAATGGCATGTCTTTCACAGCAAGCAGTCCAACAAAGTTGTAACTTTCAAAGGGACACGTGCAAGAGTGGAGGATACATTCAGGGAATTATATCGTCAGATTTTATACACAGGCACAATATCACATACAGGGTCATCTTTTGGTTGAAATGTGCTGTACATTAGTGAAAGACTGAGAAACTTCGTTTTTAGAAAAGATGAGCTTTCACTTACTAGCTCTAGGCCCCGGGACAAGATGTTAGCCATTCTGTACCTTACTTTCTTCATCTGTATGCTATGGGGATAATAATAGGGTTGTTTTAAACATTAAATGTTATTATAGAATAGTGCCTTTTGCTATTGTTTTACTACTCTTCCTAACTGGTAAAAAGTCAGTTGTCCCAGAAAATTAGGTTTTCCAGGACAACTGCAGGTAACAAGGGAGTGCAGAGCTGGTGATCTTGTCCAGTGCTTGCTTACTTGCCCTCCTGTGGAGCGCGCAGCGACCCGACCTGTAGGTGCCCTCTCCACCCGGGGAAGCTGTGGGGTGTAAATGTGGCTCTCCTCCTTGCTTTCTGCTCCGCTGGCAAGTACCTTAAGTTTCTGTGGCATTTGTTTGTTTTTAATCATGTTCTAGAAGGCATCTGTGCACTTGAAATAAGCAATTTCATTTGGAAGTAAAGATGAATGGGGGAATAGGTATGGGAAGCTGGACAATTTATTTTCTCTGAGTTAATACTTTTGAGGTGCTGTGAGTTACCAGAATACCAGATACACCTGTATTCAGCCAACAGGTTTTGGTACTCTGCCATTTTGTGTTATCTGGTACCACTTTATTCCATCAGTTGTGCTTATAACAGATGATTACTTTTAAGCCAGTTAAGTAAGGGAAGTGATATTTTGGGCCTAGTTGACTTAGTTGATGTGCTCGAATTGTATTCTGTATTGCTACAGAATAAAAAGGGTGATAACTCTTAAAAGTGTAGCCTTAGTTCATTAATAGGCAACATCACTTTTTTTTTTTCTAAGATATTGAGGGTAGGAGTTTATTAATTAATTTATTTTGGCTGTGTTGGGTCTTCGTTTCTGTGTGAGGGCTTTCTCTAGTTGTGGCGAGCGGGGGCCACTCTTCATCGCGGTGCGCGGGCCTCTCACTATCGTGGCCTCTCGTTGCGGAGCACAGGCTCCAGATGCGCAGGCTCAGTAGTTGTGGCTCACGGGCCCAGTTGCTCCGTGGCATGTGGGATCCTCCCAGACCAGGGCTCAAACCCGTGTCCCGTGCATTAGCAGGCAGATTCTCAACCACTGCACCACCAGGGAAGCCCCAACATCACTCTTTTTAAAATGATATAATTGAGATAGGAAAGATCTAGGCTGCCTTGGAGAAGAAGCAGATCTCACCCATAACATTTTATTCCCAAATTGAAACAGAGTAGGCAGGGTAGAAGTCAAAGTAAAATCTTCTGTGGAGGGGAAAAAAGAAAGCTAATGAAAAATATTATTTCTTTCCTTATGGAAACAGCACTGTGAGTGAAGAAACCCCTCTAACATGTTTCAGCAACAAACATGTAAATTAAAATTGTGAGATGCTATGACCCTGGTGTCAGGACAGGAATAACACTGTTTTGTAGGCTCGCTGGGTCATGTAGTATGTTCCATGTGTTTCTAGTTGTGTCTGGGGCCATATGACAAGAATATAATAAAATACTTTATTGTAATTGTTGCCATCTGTTCATTTGTGAGTGGTTTTGGGGTTTTTTTTTTTTTTTAATAGGGGAGTTGCTGGAAGCCATCAAACATGACTTTGGTTCCTTCAAGAACTTTAAGGAGAAGTTGACCGCCGTGTCCGTTGGTGTCCAAGGCTCAGGCTGGGGTTGGCTCGGTTTCAGTAAGGAACAGGGACGCTTACAGATTGCTGCTTGTTCTAACCAGGATCCCCTGCAAGGAACAACAGGTTAGGCTTAAGAATTATTACACGTTTATTTGGGAGAGATGGTTCACTATAAAGCATTTACCGTGAAATACGGAAGACTAGCAGTGTTTAAACCTACCCTGAGCACGTACTAAATTGAACATATCTTAGTAGATGATACCCAGAGTCTTGTGGGAGCAAAAATCTTTCCAAGTCCTTGATGTTTTATAAAATGAGCATGTGTAGTTTTACAGATATGTTAACAAAACATGTTTTAAACATAAACCCTGCTTCATTTGACACACAATTCGTATCAGCCTACATAATAATTATATGCACTAGAATAAAAAACTAAAATTAGATAAACGACATGAAGGAGGAAAATACACATCGGCTGAGTCTGACTTCAGAGCTTGGACTCTCAACTCCTCTGCTGAGCACCTGTGGTCAAACTGGGACCAGAGCTCAGCTTTCCAGACATCTACCTTCCTGAGGATTTTTTGGCATAGGAAAGGATTGGGCTTAGAAGCTGCAGGCTGGGTTCACCAAATCCCCTTTTATGTTGAGCCAGATGGAAGTAGAAGCTCTTTAGGAAATAGTCTTAAGGATCCAGCAGTTTGCTGGAACTTTGATGTGAGCTGATACCTTAGCATCAATCAGCAGTAGGCCTCAGCCATATTTTCTACCTCTACACATGTCTGGAGACTTGCTTACGTGACTCACTAACCTGGGTATGTTCAGATTAGCCAGAATCTAAACAGCTCTTTAGGGAAAGTGAGAAGCCACAGAATTTGGATAGGCAACCAAAGATGTGTGAGCCCTGAGCGCTCTAAGAGTCAGGTACCTGCCCGAGGAGGCTGTGATTGGCAGGTCAGTCCTAGCAACACCTTCTTCTCTCCTGCTTGAAGAAAGCCCATTGGAATAAAGATAAATGAAAGTTGTGGTGATTTGTTCAGGGGAAAAGTCATGTATACATTTTGTTCCCTTAATTATAAGTTATTAGGGACGCACCTCACGGTTGACTTAGACACGCGGGTTGATGCTCGTTTCCCTAGAGCAGCGCTTGCGGTTGGAGAAGATTTTTCTTAAATGAATGTTTTATAGATTTAACTACTTCCCGCACTTTCCAGAAACTAAATAGTGTATCTTTTTCTTAAGCCTCACGCAGTTTTCCGTGTTAGCTTAATTTTTGTTATGTCTCATAAACGTTCTTTTCTTTATTTCTTTCTTTGAAGTAAAGTTGATTGACAGTGTTGTGTTAATTTCTGCTCTACAGCAAAGTGACTCAGCTATACGTGTGTATAGTCGTAAACGCTTTGTATTCTCAGTGACCAGCGTCAGCCCAGGGGAGCCGAGCAGGTTTCCCATAGGCTCCCCCAAATGCTCAACACCTTTGGAAGGTCCTCAGCCACACCCACAAAGAACACACCCTTCCTGAGACCCCTAGTGAGGACCACTGAGAATTGGCTCTTGGATAAATCTGTTGATATTTTAGGAATAGCTGTTAAAATACTGTGGTTAGTTGATTTTCCCAAGTCTGTTTTAATTATTTTTACTATTTATCACATTTTCTTCCAAAGAGTAAAGTTTAAAATCTTTTTCTAGGATATTTATCCTTATGCAAATTTCCTGTTTACATAAGAAACTGAAAAATGGATGAGAATGTTGTAAAGGGTGGTTTTTCTGTGCATAGGATAACTAAAGTTTAAAGCGAGAAGATGCAGTGTTTTAGAGTGAAATTCATAGTTTTTGTTTCTTTCCCCTTCTTTCCAACAGGTCTTATTCCACTGCTGGGAATTGATGTGTGGGAGCATGCTTATTACCTTCAGTATAAAAATGTCAGGCCTGATTATCTGAAAGCCATTTGGAATGTAATCAGCTGGGAGAATGTAGCTGCGAGATACACGGCTTGCAAAAAGTAAAACATCAGCCTTACACTGAGTACATCAAGCTCTTTATGACTGTTTTTGTGGTAGTGCAGAGAATCACGTATACCAGTAAGCTGCTCCATTGTAGTGTTTCTGAGTGTGGCTTATTCAAATATTTGATAAACATAATTTAGTGCTGTGAATAATCTCTTTTAAAAGCTTGTTATTAGGCAACTGTTTGAACATGTTAAATGCTTTGTATAATTTAATCTTTTGACTGAACATTTTCTTCAGAGAGCTACAATAGTTAGGAGATTATAATTTTTATCATAAAACCATGAAGGATGTTTCATCCCTATACTGTTGGGGTGTCTAAGGAAGCCTTTCTAATCCTGTTCTATTGCAGTTACAGAAAATCTGGTCTTTTGCCCCATTTACTTAATAATAAAATATTAAATTTATTTCCCAAGGGAAATATTCAGTTTTCTATTGAAAATTGCTCTTTTTGTAAGTAATCCTCTGTCCAGTATTACTTCTGGTGGATATCACCCAGTGGTCTTTAGTTACTTACGATCACAGGTTATACAGGGTTAACACTAACCATTTTGTCATTAAAAATATATATAACTTGATTGCTAATTTGAGAATTGCTTTATTATGAGAAGGAAATAGTAGTGCCTCTGAATTTTTCTGTGGACAGAAAAAGACTTTTGTGAAATTCTGTCCTCAAACATAGAAATGTGTGTTGTCTAAGTGCTCAAAGTGGACAAATTAGGGCCTAGTTAATAAAGTCAATGATAGGGATGGGCCACAAATCTGCCGGCCAGACACTTGCCCCTCTTCTTTTGGGCCTGCTCATGAAGCATCCATCTCAAGAGAACCAGACCTGGGTCAGGGCCTGCATTCCCAAGTAATGAAAGACAGATTGGTTTCAGGATGCAGTCAGGAGCGTGCCTCTATGAGGAACATTTATTTTCAAAGATTTCTTTTTGAGTTATTTCATCCATTTTGATGTTTTTTGTTTCTTCTAGAAAATGTACAATCGCTATAGAAGCTTTATATTGTTTTATTGGTTTTTCCCATAAAGGGAAAAACCGTATCCCTAATATAGTGACAGGGCAGTCAAGTTACATTCCTGTTGGGTTTTTGCGAATGGAGCTGTTCAGTGCAGCAGGGTCCTTTCTGTACTTGGCTTCACAGTGTCAGGTGTTCCGTGTTCTTCATCATCTTCTCTCCTTATCGTTAATAGCTGTATAGTATTTTATCAACTGGACACTTCCTAATACATTATACAGTTCTGTCACTGAAGATTTCATTTGTTTCTAATCTGATGATTACAGGTAATGCTATTCTGATACCCCACACAGGTTTTACCTTCTATTGGAATATTTTCTCTATGTAGGTTTTTTTCTTAAACCTATTTTAGTAACAGGGTGTTTTCTCAAGTTTATTTTTTCATTTAAAAAAATTTCCCCCTAACTTTATTATCCTGTTTTGTTTTTTTTTTCATGGAAAAATGGAGTGACTTAGCAGTTTCAATATTGAAGACTGAAGTTTTAAAAAAAATTTAAATTCAAGGCACGTTTCTTTTAGAATTCAATTAGAAAAGTATTTAGGCTTTCTGAATTGTCGACAGTGTTGACGAGACTAGTGTTAACTGTGTACGTGTGTGTGCTTGTGGATTGAAAACACTTCAGAGACTATGATTGCCATCCTTTCTATACCACAGTAAAATGGCTTTAATGGGGCACAACTGAGAGCCGTGCTTACATAGCTGCTTACATATACCCTATACACACATATATGTGCCTGTGTATATAAACAAGGCAGCTGTGTGACTGCTGCTTACATATATCCTATACACACATATATATGTATATGCCTATATATTATAAACTAGGCAGTGACCTCTGTAAACAGACCATTGAGAAAATAGGACCTTTTTGAAAGATGGGCTTTTGAATACAAGTAGTCTTCTAGATCATGAACTAACAAAGATATGCAGAGACTACTGACTTATATAAAGCTTTTGGACTCTCATTAAGCTTTAAGATTAAAAAAAAATTCAATGTTGAAATTTCTATGGGGCTCTATTTTTGCTTTGATTGTATCATGTGAGAACAAGGGAAAGCATACTGTCCTCCACTGCACTTTTGGATTTTAAGGGACTAAGATAACATACAGAGTAGAGATTTTAATCATCCAGCAGAAAATGAGACTCTATAAGATTCTGTTTAGCCCTGTTTTTCATAATAGAAAAGAAACAGAAAAGGTGAAGCAACTGTTTCTTCTGGAAAGAGCAAGTACTGTTCACCCAGGAAGGATTTTTGTGACTGAATCAGCAGTGCCTGCTGTAGTCATAGACGTGCTTCAAAAATCATAGCATGATTGGTGCTGCAGGGGAACAGGATGCAGGACAAATACTGTCTGTGAAATAGTATCTGTTGCTCGAACTGTTGTGTAATAATTAAGCTTTGATATTGAGAAGTTACAACTTTATTACACACCTCAGATTCATGATTCTACAATGAGATTTGAATTTCTGTGGGGTGCCTTTAAAAAGTAACATCAAAATCATAAAATTAAGATTGATGTGTGTTGTCAGTCATATCTAAAACTAGGTATAAATACAAATTTTGTTTCCTGTTTTAATTTCAGGGGAACTACCGTTTGGGAAAGCTGTTCGGTAACTGTTTTATAAATTACTGTCTCTCTTTTTCAGTCATACCCTAATGATCCCAGCAAGCTAATGCCCTGTGTTCTAAGGTATGCATGGTACATACTAAAAATCCTGTAAGGTCCTGGAGAGTTTTCATTTAATTATTCATTAAAGAAGCATTTATTTTCATATTGTAAGTGTGAAGCTTTTTGATTATTAATAAAAGAATCTGTTAACCATCAAAGGAGGTCTGCATTAAGTGTGTGTGTCAAAAACATTTATAATCTTGCAGTGCTTTATCATTTTTACTGTAGGAAAGGAATAATAAATAATAGGTAGTTGAAATTTTACTCTAAAAACCCAGAAGGCATATGAATTCTATCTCTGGGAGGAATTCTTTTGTGCATGGGTCTCATGACTGTGGCTCCACCTTCTGGAGACTCTAATTTGGAGGGTCTCCATGGCTCATCTAGGGGAGGTGATGGGCAGTTTCCTCTGCTTGGAGTGTGCATAGCTTTCAAGGCCTGATTTCTACCAGTACAAGTTTGAGAGGTCTGAAGGCTATTTAAAAACTCAAACAGCGAAAAACTTTTTTAGTCTGATTCCATCGTTTCTTTGGCAATACATTGGCCTTAAAAACTTTGTGGGTTTCTAACCCATTTGCAGCCAGTTTTATGTGCCAATATCCACAGTAAACATCCACAATGAAAATTTTTTACTAGATATACTAGATGTGAGTAATTTTTTTTCTAACATCTTTATTGGAGTATAATTGCTTTACAGTGGTGTGTTAGTTTCTGCTTGATAACAAAGTGAATCAGCTATACATATACATATATCCCCATATCTCATCCCTCCTGCATCTCCCTCCCACCCTCCCTATCCCACCCCTCTAGGTGGCCACAAAGCACCGAGCTGATCTCCCTGTGCTGCGCGGCTGCTTCCCACTAGCTAGCTATTTTACATTTGGTAGTGTATATATGTCCATGCCACTCTCTCACTTCGTCCCAGCTTACCCTTCCCCCTACCCGTGTCCTTAAGTCCATTCTCTACGTCTGTCCTTATTCCTGTCCTGCCCCTAGGTTCTTCAGAACCACTTTTTTTTTTTTTTTTTCCTGCCCCTAGGTTCTTCAGAACCTTTTTTTTTCTTTCCTAGATTTCATATATATATGTTAGCGTACGGTATTTGTTTTTCTCTTTCTGACTTTCTTCACTCTATGACAGACTCTAGGTCCATCCACATAGATGTGAGTAATTTTTATCCTTGCTTCCTTACCCCGTCAGCATAAGAGCAGCTACCTTGAGCTAAAGGTAGTTAAAACAATAAGCTCGTGGGGGAAGCCCACATCCTTCGTCTTTGCTTTGGGGCTGAGACTTGAGCATTTGCTCAAAGCCTTTTTCAGTCTTAACATCTTTTACTGTTTGGGATTTAGAAGTAGTCAGCTTTTCCAGGCTTTGAGGACCCAAATTTCTGAACTATATTTCCTTTGATTTCTGCTTGCAGACTGGCCAGTTCTTCCTGAAGGCACCAATGACATCTTGCTAAAGGGGGAGATAAAAGCCAACACACAGGGTCAGTCTGGTTCTTCTCGAACATTCTAGAGCTGCAGTGGCTGTGCCTTTTACGTTACTGCGGGAAGCAGGTTTACCGCATGATCTGCCACTGGGAAACACGGCTTCCAACTTTTCGGCTCCTGATACCAATTTTCTCACTGGCCACTAAGCCAATGCCACATAGTTTGAATTTTTTTTTTTTTTGGCTGGGACAGTACGCACTTCAAGGTCCTAGTATTTGAGTTAATTTGGGTAACAAACAAACTGCTGCTTTGACAACAAACTCCAAATGTATAATGGCTCAAATACAATAGATTTTTTTTCACTCAGGTAAAGTGTATAAGTGTTTCTGGTTAGCGCCGGAGCTTGCTTCCTCACAGTGATTCGGGGATCCAGGCTCTTTAGCTTTGACTGCTTTGCCGTCCCAGTAAGTGCCATTTGAGGAGCTCTTGTCACCGTCATTGAGCCAGTGGAGTGCAAACGAGCATGCAGATCACGTGTATGAAGTTTTATGGGCCAGGCCTAGAGGTGGTGCCTATGTGTCTGCTCATATTTTACTGGTGACCACAGTGCACCTAAATACAAGGAAGGCTGGGAAGAGAGTTTAGCTCTGCTCCTGTGCCCAGAAAGGACAAGAAACAGCCAATCTCTCTACTGCTTTGGGATTCTGAGCAATCTGTTTGACCTCTCTGTGCCTCAGCTTCCCAGCTGACCATAATGGGTTTTTGTGAGTTTACGGGGTCTGGCATGAAATGAGCACTGTTAAGTATAGCTATCACAGAAGTTGTTTTACATGGCTTCTCAATTTTTAATCTTGTCTGATTCAGCCACCCTGCAGGGAAGGCAGAGAGGATACAGACTCAGGGACAGATTGGTACCTGGGACTCTAGTGGCCTGTTCTGGGGTCCTCTGCCTGCTTTAGTGTGCTTTCCACAACAGTGCGTTATATTCTGAAAGAATACCTTAATGTGTACGTTCTAAGTCGGGGCCGGGGGAAGTGTCTTCATTTAGGAGAAAGCTGAAATACCCAGATCTGTTAAAGCAATTCCACCAATGTTTTGATTTACTTCTCCATCTACATGTTTTAATTACACCCTTTCATTTCCTCCCCAGTACCAAAACATAAAACTGCTTACAAAAACTGCTTGCAATTTTTTCCTAAAAAGCCTATTTTTATTTGGTTAAGCCTTTCTGTGAGAATGCCTGGGAGAAGCCAAAAGTGAGATTCCCCCCATCCCCTACCTGCCCCCCCAAAAAAATAAATAAAGGAAGAATCAGATGAGAAAGGGTGTGTGGCTTTAATTTCTTTCTTTCTTTTTTTTTTTTTTTCCTGTACGCGGGCCTCTCACTGTTGTGGCCTCTACCATTGGGGGGCACAGGCTCTGGACGCGCAGGCTAAGCGGCCATGGCTCACGGGCCCAGCCGCTCCGCGGCATGTGGGATCTTCCCGGACCGGGGCACGAACCCGTGTCCCCTGCATCGGCAGGCGGACTCTCAACCACTGCGCCACCAGGGAAGCTCCTCCATTTCTTCTTTTTCCTAGAGAATTCATCTTCTCTAAGTTTGCTGGGATGGGGAGTGAAAAATTTTGTGTCTCTATTGTACCCCTTGAATGTATCCCTTCCTCTTAAACTCCCCATTCGCCCAGGACACATCTGAAACCAGATGTGTTTCACACATCTGAAACCAGAGAGCCATCTGTCATCTGCTCTGAGTCTCAGATTTAATTCTAATGCAAGCCTCAAGGTTAAAGGGCCTGTTTGCCTCGGTCTCCAACAGCCTTTAAAAGTCAATCCCCATAAAAAGCTTTATTCTTCCCCTGTCCAGGGGAAACCTCAGGATTCTTTTTCTTTTACCCTAAATATATTTGCTCTACACCAGTAGGTGGCAGTATTTCTATGCTTTTCTCCCCTCCATGCTCTGCTATAAACGGGACTTATGGGAAAGCAGAGTGGGTTGGAACAGTATTAAGGGTTCCCCTCCCCACCCCAAAGGAGCACATTACCTTGTTCATTTGAGAACAGATAATCTTTTACTTTTTAAAGGTTTTTTTTTTTTTTTTCCCCCCTCCCCGTACGCGGGCCTCTCACTGTTGTGGCCTCTTCCGTTGCGGAGCACAGGCTCCGGACGCGCAGGCTCAGCGGCCACGGCTCACGGGCCCAGCCGCTCCGCGGCATGTGGGATCTTCCCAGACCGGGGCACGTACCCGCGTCCCCTGCATCGGCAGGCGGACTCAACCACTGCGCCACCTGGGAAGCCCGACTTTTTAAAGTTTTAAACTTAAAAATTGTTTTTATTTTGAAACCATCTCAAATTTACCTAAAATTTGCAATTATAGTACAAGGCCCTTAGCTTTTTCAGAATATTTTGAGAGTTAGTTGCTGTTGTGAGGTGCCATCACCACCGAGTACTTTGTATTTCCTGCAGACAAGGGCATTCTCCTACACACTCTAGACGGCCTTCAAAGTCAGAGCATTGGCAATTGTGTGTCACTATCCTGTAACCCTCAGATACCGTTCAAGTTTCACTTCTTGTTCCGGTGATGCCCTCTACAGCAGATGGACCCAGTCCAGAATGACCACTGCATTGAGTAATCATGTTCCCTCCCTTAGAAGCTGCCACGGTGTAGTTAGAAGTTCCCTGCATCGCAGAGCCTGTGGAAATGGTGATGCAGGGAAGAACACTCCTTTCTTTGTTTGCGAATCTGATCCATATGGATAGTTTATTTAGGCTACACGCAGAGTCTTGTAAAAGCTCCAAACAGGAAGCCTCTAAATTAGCCAGCAGCGAGTTTCTAAGGTATGCCGATTTCAATCACTGTTAGCAGTTCTCTTTCTTACTCACAACAGAATAATTCCCTTTAGGCAAGAGCTCAGCCTTCCTTTTCCTTTTTTTTTTTTTTTTTCCAAATCCTTTGTTCTGATTTATTTAGGTTACCGGGATGCCATATTCAGTTTTCAGACATTTTCACCAACCGCAGTTGAGGGCAACCGTGCATGGGTGTCAACCATGATGTTGCTTTTCGATTTGACTCCCTCCACTTCCTGCCAAGGAGTTTCTTTCTACGAGAAGGTAATCAGATTTGTGTAGGTTCTATGTCTCAGTTCTTATTTCTTTAAATATTTCACTTGTTCCCTCCATCTATTTCTCTTGGGAAGGTCCACTATTCTCTAAGATTTAGTGTAATGGTGCCTTTTTTTGACACCTTAGGCCAAATTGGTCATTCCCCTGCCCTCTATCTGCCCCTCTCTCTGTCCTGGTACTTGTTGGTCTATATTGTAACAATTTGCTTCTAGATCTCTTCTCTCCACAAGGCTTGGGGTTTATCCAGGGTGGCAATCGGTCTCTATTCATTTTGTATCACTAATGCCTACGACAGGCCTTGACATCTAGCAATGGTCAACTTCAACCGCTCT